AAGTTCAGTAATGCCGGCTAAAAAATCACGTGGGATGAAAAAAGAGTTGGCGATATTATCTCAACAATAACCATGTTCTGACAAATTTGTCGGACTAATCAAACAAGTCAAAAAAAATTCAATTCAATTTCCGGCATATAAAAATAGGTTCAAAACGGGTTTACAGTTACAATACTCAATTTCTTTTTTTTTTTTAAACAAAAAAAAAAAAATTCTTTGAATAAAGCTATTAACACTTTAATCAAAACAAAAAAGGTTTCAGTTTATTCGTACTAGAAAACAATGACTACTATAAATGAAAGCTCTGATCGACCATCGGCTTCAGCACAACAAGTTGGTTGGATTTTTGTACGAGAGTATTATAAGCATTTAAACGAAAATCCCGAGTCTTTATGTCTTTTTTATAACAAAGAATCAAGACTTATTCGTGGCTTGGAGGGTGAAGAGGTCAAAATTTGTCAGGGACAACAGGTATATATTTTGTTGTTATAAAGAACGCTATAAATAAGAGTGTTTATTCTATATTTGTTTTTTCTATGAAAAATGTTAGTTTTTAAAATGATCGTTACCTGAATAGTTTTGTTTCATTTTGGTCCACTAACATGAGCTTACAAAATTTCTTAAAGAATATGTTTAAATTAATTTTTTTTTTTTTCATATTAGGAAATCAGAAAAAATATTGATGAAATGCAATTAAAAGATGCATCAATAAAAATCATCAATGTTGACAGTCTAGATTTTCTTGAAGGCAAAGTGGTTGTTCAAGTTACAGGAGAGATTTCCAATAAAGGCGAAGCTTATAAAAAATTTGTCCGAACCGTTATTCTTGCCAAACCATCACCAACGGATGATAATTATTACATTTATAGTGATATATTTCGTTATTTGAAAAATGAAACTGTTGAATCCATTAAACAACAATCAATATACCAAGAGTCATATATTGAAGATGGAGTGTCAACATTAAATGAAGAAAAATCAGCTAATGGAGAAGATGCAATTTCAATTTCAACTTTATCAACTCTTGCTGAGGAATCAGCTCAAGAGTCAGGTCGAGATTCAAAAGTAGTTGAAGAATCTCCTGAAATTCCTCCTACAAAAGCTAATGAAACTTCACCCTTAACCAAACCCTCAACGGAAGGTATCATAAATGTAGATGGAAATGCGACTGAAAATGAAAAGCCTAGCTCATCAGATGTTCATTCAAAAGGTCAACCTGGTCCGATTAGTGTACAAACCGAAAAGTTGGCAAATACTTCAAATGCTACCAATCAATCACCGACACAATCACAATCACCATCAAAACCTGCTTCGTGGGCTAATTTAGCTGCTAGTGGTTCTCAGAAATGGAGTAATGCTCAGCTTGCAGAACCGAAAGGACGAGTTATTGCTTCAACATTACCAAGGACACAACCTCAACAACCTAATCGTGACCAACGATCGTACAACAATCACAACAATCACAACAACCCTATTAACAGGGGAGGTATGTTTGCGTTTGACATTTAATATTATTGTAATTTATATGCCATTTTTTTTTAATTTAATATTTACCTTCCTTATTTAGAATTTTCACTGTATGTTAAAGGAATTGTTGAAGGAATGAATAAAGAAGTACTTGATAAAGTATTTACGGAATTCGGAGTTGTAAAACATTTGGATGTCGTTATTACAAAAGTAATTATGAATGGTTTTTTTTTAAAAAAAAGAAATTTTTACGAGTTATTATCGTTTATTGATATTAAAATTAACTAATCAAATATTCCAGTCATGTGCATTTGTGGAATTTGACTCTCAAAAATCCTACCAGCAAGCTCTCAGTAAAAAAATTATTGAGGTTCCAAATTTTGGGACTGTTACTGTTGAAGAAAGAAGACCACCAAGAGAGGAGGGAGGCGGTGGACGTCGTCGTGATTATTACCCACGTAATAATTATAATGCGTCACATAATCCTCATAACGGTAACGGTATAAACTCACAACGTGGAAGTGGAAATAGAGGTATGGATAGACGCAATACAGGTCCTCGTCATCCTTCCACCAAATCTTATTCATAAGGATAATGGTATGTATGTATACTGGATCTTTTATTTTTATTCTTTTAAATGATGAATTCAAGGTCTCCCTCTGCTGAGCAATTAGCAATGGTGAAAGAAGCCTATCCGGTGTTATATAATTCTGATAGAACATTATATATTATTACTCATTAGTGATTGAAAATAATTGACATTTTAAATTTTTTTTTTTCTCTCTTTCTTTCTAATTTAGGTTCAAATTATATTACTACTGAGATATGATTATGGACGTTTTGGCCTTGCAACACATTATTTTGTATATATATGATTTATATTAATTTTAATATTAACAAAAAAAAATTCATTTAATATATTGTAATACAGTAGATTTTAAATGGGATACAAAAGTAAATTGGTCAATAAAAATGAGTAGCGATTTCGAATGATATAGATTTTTTTTTTTTTTTTTTTTTTGCAGTAATTAATTAAAATTTCAACTAATCTAGTTTTGTAACTCGATAAATTTTAACGCCAACGTTTGAAATTAAAATTTTTTCCAAATATGGTAAATACTGCATAATCAATCATAACAAATTTTTGTTGCTTTTTTTATCTTACAA